AGTGGGTGTGGTTTGGGCTTTGCTTCTGTGAAGATTGACAGCCTTGGAGACCCTGTGGGCAGTTCCACTCTGTCCTCTAGGGGCGCTGTGAGTCAGAATCAACTGCCCCAGAGGGTTTCCAAGACTGTCAGTCTTCACAGCCTCTGAGAATCCCACTTGGACACATATGAGGTGCCATGAATTGACATAAACTCAGTGGCAACTGGTTGGTTGGTTGGTTTTTCAGACCAGGAGCAGGCAAACTCCAGTCCAAGTCAATCCCATGCCTTGTTTTTGTTAATAAAGTTTTATTGGAACACAGCCACAGCTGTTCAATTACAAATTGCATATGGCTGTTTTTCTCCGTAGCAGCCAGGTTGAGTAATGATTGCAGAGACCCCTGTAGCCTGTAAAGGCTGAAATGCTTTCTATCTGGCCCTTTAGAGAAAAAGGCTTTCCATCTCATACTCTGGGAAGAAAATGTGTCTCAGTCAAAAGGTGCCACGTATAAGACTGGAAATTCCATGAGGACAGGACTTGGGCTTGTTAGAAACTGTACCTCGCCTAACAGGTGCTGGGCACATGGCTAGCTGTCAGGACGTGAACCTAGGAGTACAGGACAAACTGCAAAAGCCGGACACTAGTACAGAGGCATGCTGCATTTCAGGATAGGTGTAGTTTTTAAAAGATCTCGGTTATGTTAGTTTGGGCAGTCATTCATGGCAACCCAGGAGTACGTCTTGTGGGCAGGCTGTAAGTATTTTTCCGTAATTATCTTCTAAATTACCTGCTTACCCAAAAAATCACTGCCCTCAGTTGGTTACAATTCATAACAACTATAGACAAGAGAATAGAACTGTCCCACAGGGTTTACCAGGCTGTCAGTGTTCACAGAAGCAAAGCCCAAACCACACCCACTGCCGTGGAGTCGATTCTGACCCACAGCGCCCCTAGAGGACAGAGTGGAACTGCCCACAGGGTTTCTCCAAGGCTGTCAGTCTTTACGGAAGCAAACCGCCTCATCTTTCTCCTTCAGAGCAGCTAGTAGATTCCAACCACCGACCTTTTGGTTAGCACCCAAATGTTTTAATCACTGTGCCCACAGGGCTTAGCCAGTTCCAAATTTTCATGGAGTTTTATTTTTTTAAGATAAACTCTGCCTGTGCTGTTTTTCTGTTTACAACCATGATGCAGTAAAGACACGACGGAGCTCAGCTGTCTGCTGGCTCAGTGGTGGAGTCCTTCCTTTTCTCACAGGAGACACGGGTTCTGTCCTCGGCCAGGGCACCTTCTGCCCAGCCCCACCCGTCTGTCTGGCGGCTGGCATGTTGCTGGGATGCTGACTAGCTGTGAGCAGGCTTCCAGACGGAGACAGACGGGGAAGAAGGGCTTGGGTGTCAGCTCCCAGACACCAGCCAGTGAGAGCCTTGTGCAGCCAGCAGTCCGACCCCACTGTGCATTGGGGCCCCATGAGTCGGGGGACACAGCCACAAACAAGAAAATCGGGCAGGAGGGTCAAGTCCCCCTCAAAAGAAAGAGCTGGTGATGTAGTTTGAAAACAACAGCCATTGACAACCATGTGGAGCACAGTTCAAATCTGACCCACCGGGGGCCCAGGAATCTGAGTGGAGGCCGTGGCAGGTGGGTTTCATTGGGGCAGAGGAAATGGATTTCACCCTATGGAGTCCTATCCCCACATCCTCATCATCACCCCCGATGGTCGCCAGCAGAAATCCGCTGCAGAGGTGACACGGTCTCGGATCCCAGGAAGAATGAGGTCGGCAGGACAAGCGTGTGTTTAAAAAGCAGCAGAAAAGCAGGGGGCGCTCCACCCAAGACATGGAGGGGTGCTGGGGAGAGCGGCACCTGGAGCCGAGCTGGGGGGCTGCTGGCTTCGGTGCCCTGAGGCCGGCTTTTGCCGTGTTG